AACAAACCAGGTTCCAAATGAAGAGGAAATTAGGACAAGACTCTGAAAATGGGTAGGACATACATTACGGAAATCACCAAACTGCACCACGAGGCAAGCCCTAACTTGGAATCCTGAATGGAAAAAGAGAAGAGGAAGGCCAAAGAACATACTATATAGTGAAATAGAAGCAGATAAGTAAAGGATGAATAAAAACTGGAAAAAGCTGGAAAGGATTGCCCACGACAGTGTTGGATGGAGATTACTGGTGGGTGGCCTATGCTCCTCCACAAGGAGTAACAGGAGTAAGCAAGCATTCTGAGGAGATTACTAAGAACACATCTTCTTAGAAGACATAGATTGTATGTATCCCATGTAGACAAGTATTGGTAACGTCACATTTCTATCAGTTGAATTTTAACCTCTATATCAATTACCCATTTCTTTGATTCTGTGGGGCCCTTTCAAAGCCCAAATGGATCCCTAAAGTTTCAAGTGAACCCCCATATATTGACATCGTCAGTGTATATATAATGTCAGTATACTAATTAGTCTGGAGGTTACTAGTGAAAATCAGTAGGGAAATGGTTCTTTATGAGTATCTCGCAGTTGTGACTCTTCATTTCGTCAGATTTCTATGTATCCAGTTCTCTGGTAAATTTCGAAGCCAGGTTAGGAGGGGATAGATGAAACCCATCTTTAAAACCCTCTCTATGGAGAGTATTTGCGGTGCTGTGTCGGAGGCTCTAGCAGGTTCAAGAAATAATACATTGACCGGTATGTTCAAATCCTAGATGTTTAACAAGTTTTCCCATGGTATAAAGACATGTAACGTACAGGACCCCCTTTTCCAAATCCGTGTGGGACTTCATAAAGAACATTTCTTATCAATGTAATGTGACTCTTTTGTATCAGTTTGTGTCTTTCTTATCTCCTCCACTAAAGATTGGATAAAGTACCGTACTTATATTCCTTTGGAATGTTCTGTAACTCTAGGGAATCCCTGAACAGGTCACATGCCGATTTTCTGATGGCTTTTGAGTACTATTTCAAGGTTAGCGAGCAGATGTTGCCACATCGTGGTGACCTTGTAACTGCTTAGGTTTCTTGGTCAAGAGTTCACCTCAAACAACTAAGCATGTGTCAAAACAGTATAGTTCAAGTATTCATTCACTTCCTTATTTTGTTTAGGTGTTATATTTCTTATTATCTTATATTGAATGTTGAGAGTCTTTGTTCGTCTGAACAAATAATCTGAATAAAGACCTATTCACTACTTGTCTGGTTTCTTCTATCAATGGCACGAGGGTTACCTAGAGGCACGAAAACTTTTCTAGGCACAGGGATACAAAATTTGCAGTTAGGTGGATATTCCTCGAACCATCAGCTGACAATATATTCAAAGAGTGCAACGCGCTTGCAGGTTCCTGGTTTATTTGAAAGGAAAGGTTGGCATTGAAGATTTTTAACACCCATAGATCGATAAAATCTTCACCATTAAGGTCAGTGAGAGCACAAACCCCCTGGGTGGTAGGCTTTCGTTTAGCCATGAACCCGTGGATATTTGACGTTAGCTTGTATTTTATCGACTAGCTTAGCCTATAAATATCTTTCGCCTCTTTGAACTTCTGCATTGTATCTGTTTCTCAACGCCAAATGAGAGCTACGGCCAGAATTCTTCAAAAAGACTTTCCACTTGCACCAGGCTCAGTTATCAACTCACTCTATCATCCTTTGGATGACGTGCCTAGTCTTTCAAGTGGTACAGAAACTTTTAAGCATATATTCTATGCTAGTCCACAATAACGACTAGCTTCAGGAGGGCTTCTGTTATACTTTGGCCTGTAGCGTGGCATCGAGTTGAGGTTAACTATGAACACCGCTACAGAGAAACACGTGCCAAATAAATCAGAAGGCGTAATTTGAACGTAACCAAATAGATCCATGAAATCCCCGAGAAGCCAAATACCAGAAGGCAATTAATGGACCAAGTCGAGTTATATTTGCTGGCGATCTCGTGGCATAGAGAGGATGCCGAGATCGTGGCAGGACACAACCTTGGTTACAGAAGGTAACCGAATTCGCGCGAAGTTACAATCGAAGTGTAAGTATAAGAATGGAAGCACAATATAGCTGTCGTTAGCACAGTCAAACAAAAGCACGTTAAAACAAATACTGGTACAGTTGGCTATAATAATAATTGTTTTTATTAAACCAGTCGTGTTCTCGTGATAAATGTGAGTCACTACAGGCCATGATGAAGAAAATGCTCCACATACACGAGTTGCATTGATGCTGTCCAAACAAGCACACAATGCACTTATTGGGTGGGAATCTCATGGACCAAGGATCATCAAAACCTCCTTCAAAACAAAGAAAGAGGGCATTCCAATAAACGTCATCCAATGCTATGAGCCTACCAACGACTACAATTAAGACGCTAAAGATCAATTATACAATAGGCTGCAGTTGTAAGATCCAAACTATGGTTTGGACTGCCGGACAGCTGTCTGGATGAGTTAGATACGCGCCCTCGCCCGTTTGAAACCAAAACAAAGTTATTGGGTAAGATGACGGTTCTATAATTTACCATAAATTTAAGTGTACATTACTACCTAAACAAATATAACCACTCAGCTATCCAACCAATAATTGTTCAATTGATCAAATCTAAACTACAATAAATAAGAAAGTTGATAAAGGATGCAAGAGATTAACCAATCACCACAAATAAATGTTATTCTATCCTGTCTGGATAGATCACGTACAGATTCGTTCAAAAGGTAATAATTGGTCGCTCTATAACACAGTGTTTTCAATTCTGGAAGAGTGCTTCAATTCACAACCAAAATGCACAATTCCAGTCAACACAAGTCAAGCAACCAAAAGCAGGAACGAACCAAAATGGCTGCCGCCCAGACTTAGTATAAGGTAAAACAACATAAGTGCAGTTCGGGAAGAAACATGGGGAATTAGTGAAGGTGTAGTAAAAACAAAAACTATAATAAAATACAAGTATTAACAAATCAAATGTAGTCAAAAAGTTAACTATGTACAACTAAGAGGATCAATAGGATAAAGTGCAAGTTTATACATGGAGGGATTTTCACGAACGCACAAAGCATTCAAAATGGATCTTACAGCAGTCAATCGTCGAGAAGTTCCAAACAAAGGATCTGACCATTCTGATAAGAGATTCCAATGCCAAGGTTGGAATGAACAACACCGGATATAAAGACATCATGGGACGATATGGACTGGGAGAAAGGAACGAAAATGGTGAGAGATTTGCAAACCTATGTGTCCTCAATAAACTGGTCATAGGCGGCACTATATCCCCACATAAGTGCATTCACAAAACCACATGGAATTCACCAGATCACACCACGCAAAACCAAATCGACCATATCTACATCAACAAAGAAGTTCAGGGGGACGATGGGGGATGTGAGAACCAAGAGAGGAGCCTATATAGCATCAGATCATCACTTGCTGGTCGCCAAGACAATATCACAAATGTTTAATACGGCTTTTCTTCGGGATACTGACAAACTCAACAAATTCAAGATAGTCCTCAGCAACAAGTCCCAGGCCTTTCATGATCTACTCAATGGAGAAGGAACTACTATGGAGAGCAACTGGAAGGGGATCAAAGAGGCAATCACTTCAACATGTCATGAGGTTCTGAGCCACAAGAAGCACCATCACAAGGAATGAATCAATGTTGGTACACTGGATATGATTCAAGGAAGGAGGAACAAGGAGGCAGCAATCAGTACCAGCCGAACAAGAGCAGAGAAAGCCAAGGCACAAGCTGAATACACAGAAGTAAACAAGCAAGTGGAGAGGAGCATCAGAACTGACAAACGTAAACATGTGGAAAATTTAGCAACGACTGCGGAAAAGGCTGCAAGAGGAAGAAACATAAGAGAACTGTATGACACGACAAAGAGACTCTCTGGAAATCACCGTAAACCAGAACGACCAGTGAAAAGCAAGGAAGGCGAGGTAATCACCAACATTGAAGAACAACGAAAAAGGTGGGTAGAGCATTTCGAAGAACTCTTGAATCGACCAGACATGAGAAGAATGAACATCGATTGGATAGAATTAGAAAGTAAGGGTCAGGACAGAATGGGCTGGAGAATGCTGGTCAGCGGTCTATACTCCATTAGGAGTAACAGGAGTATGTAAGTAGTCCAATCTCGTCGGGACAGTTAGACGAGAATATTTCATCTATTCTCAGTTCGGGTGCTCGAATTCAAACCTTATGGAGAGCTTCTCAAGTCACTAAATCTTTACCCCTTGGATTATAGACGCTTCAGAGATGACCTTTTGATGCGTTTTAACATGCTGAGCACCCTCTCAAATATTTTCTTGGCTCAGTCTCGACATAGTGCCTGGAAGTTACAGTCACGAAAAAGCAAAAAAAGGACTGTCGGCACACCTACCCTCTAAGGGTGGTAAAATCCTGGAATTCACTGTCGTTTAACGTAGTCCAAGCAACTTCCCAGGAGTCCTTTATGAACAAGCTTTACATATTCTTAATGTCAAATGAGGTTACACAATAGTCAAGGGGGAAGGAAGGAGTATAAGGATGAAAATAAGAATTTACAGCTCAGGTAAATGATTTCGTCAGAAAGAAAGAAATCTTTACTGAATTCTATTTTTATTTAATGACAATGGGTCATTTTAATATTCTTAAATACCCAGTACAGTATCTCGGTGTGATTTACTAGTATTATTCAGTGAGATCTTCAGATATCGGACTGTCTAAAAGGTTACACGATTTCCTTCTCATTAAACAGACTGATTAAACCGGAACCGATAGCATGGAAAATAATGCTCTTGCGTCAGTAGATTGTCAGTCAATTAACCCATTTACAATTCTCCACCAAAGGTAATTTACAAGAGAACGCCTTGGGGATCAATTCCTCTAGTCTCCATCCGTACTGTTTTCACAATCAAGAATTATGTTCACGCTGCATCAACGGCTAGCTGTGCGGGTTGTTTTAGTTAACATACCAGCACGACCCGCTTTTCAAATAATTGCCATTGTTTAACTGATATTGGTCTAATGGCTCTAGACTAGGTTGGATTTCATTTTGTTTATGAAAGACGGGATTAGTAACAGTAATTGGTGAGTAGAGAAGTAGTATGTTGCAATTGCGCTCCTATCTGTTTGACCTCACTACTCTTTAAACTAGTTTTGTACCTCTTACGTTGATGTTCCTGACCGATATTTTCTCCCTAAAACACCCAGTTTTCAATTAATTTGTGGAAATTATATAGTTAAGCTAAGACGAGGTGGAAGTGAGCTGATGGCAAGAAGGCTGCTTTGTTCCAGAAATTCGGAGTTTGCAGTAGAAACAAGAAATATCTTTTAGACGGTATATATAATGAAATTGTGTACATACTTTTGCACTGAATAATATATGCCGCACACTGAGGACAGCTTGGCCCACGTTCAAGATTTTATCATGTTTCCATTTTTGTATTTTGTCGGAGTCATACAAGTGACACGATCAAGGCATCTCATATTTGCAGTGTCCTTTCCGTGATACGAAATAAACTCCTAACTTTGTTGGGTCAAGTCGGCGAACTGATTGTTCTCCTGAACCTCATTCCGACTTACAAGGGGCTCATATATAGATAGAGGGTCACTCAAAGCGTCCGTTTATCCTACATGTCCTGATTAGTGATATAAGTTTTATTACCGCATGTGTGTGTATTCCATTGTTTTTGAAGCACCGCTCACCTGTGGAGAAACCGCTAAATAATGCTCTAGCTAATGCTGTTTAATATAAAGTTGGTAAAGCTAAATGCTCATCGACATGTGGTTAGGATATATATATATATATATATATATATATATATATATATATATTCTAACCAGGATTTTACATCGGTTACTGAGTGATATAATTCTACAGATTGTTTAGACTTCGCTCATTGATATATACTTACTACTGAATTTGATGTGGCGTTTATTATCACTGTAGTCTGCAAATCTCTACTGGTTCGTGCACCTAGTCCTGATTTGTTTCTATTTTGCTTCAGTAAATAAGTATATCTTGTTACTTTCAAGATGGCTCTAATAAACGTTCTTAGTCTCGTCTTCTCTGTGGGAGTAGACACAACAGTCTAGTGGTAATTCACAATTTTTTTTGTTTAGTAACCTAAATTCTAACTACTCTTTGTGGCCGGCACGAAAATTACACCAGATATTTATTTATCTATTTGTTTGAACACATTGTTACAGGGGGGAAGCAGATACGTATGTGCCACACAAATCTCATTTGCTTTGTGAGGGCTGTGATACTGCCCGGGTGCTCGAACTGAAGCAGGTGGTTCTATTAGGCGGCCAGACCCGGAGCCTTCGACCTGAATGTCTGACCCACAAGGTAGTGGAGCATCGTAAGGAGATGCAGTCCCATGGAGGCCGGTGACCAACAATTGGTTCATACACCATTTGTTCCTTCAGGATAACGGAGCCCATGTGCACCATTGGTTTGGAATTGTGGTTTTCCAACTCCCCTAGGTGGACTCCATGTCCACCAACTCGGTCAAAGCGCCATACATTCGCTTTTCGTCCTCTCGGCGAGACTCTAATTTATGGACGACCTTTGAACGTGTCCTAAGTGATCTTGAGAAGTATTAGCCAATCAGAAAACAGTCAGTATAGAGTAAAAATATGTTATACAAAACCATGGAAATAAAGCGGATACACTTCTTATAAGTGGTTCGAAAACTTTTCAAGGATAGAAAGAGGTTCAGAGGTTCTAAAATTGTAATGCATGCAGTAGAGGAAATCATCCATACGGCTGCAGAATAGTCGGCCTCTGGAGCTATGATAAAGTTTCAAAAACTTTCAGCTTCGACTACATAGCTTCAATAATGTTAATGTGCACACCGACTGATGAGTGCACAAAATGCTACTTGTGGATAACGACATGATGCATATAACCAAGTCTATGTAGGAGTGTGTACGCTCTTCAATCATCCGTATGTATATTGTAGTATCTGGCTGCAGGCAGTGTTACTGGTGCTTTCATTATCCAGTTCGCAATAATTGTCGTAATTTGCCTTAGTTAGAAATGATATATGGGGTTTTCATCACGAACTGACATCATCTATAATGCCAGAAATTTATGTAGCCAAATGGATGAAAGGCTTCACTCCAAAATTCGAGATTTGTTATCTTATACCTGATTGATTCGTCCACAAGTTATAGTCTCGCCGTTTTATTAGTTATAGCCGCTCAATTATCACGTTTTGTACAAAATTCCCTGTCAGCCGATCGTACGTTAGCACAAAGCACTAAAGTTTGCGCCGTAATTGGCTCGTCCATAAATTAGAGTCTCGCTGTCCTCTCAACTTCGTAAACAACACCCATACCACGAGAAGGCAGTGAGTAGGACTTCCCTGGCAGAGGCTATATACGCGTGGCCGTGTGGGAGCATTTCAAGAGGGAGAGCGAACTCTCCCCACTCTCGGCCGTACCAGGGTATTTGGGGGCACACCAGATGTTTGGTAGTTTTTTATAAGAGAAGTCCGACGTTTTGGGTTTTCGCATCTTACAAAGACGATCAGATTTAAATGTGATGGTGTCGCTCCAAGTTCCTACGCATCGCATCACCAGTGAAAATGAACGGTATGATTCCTGATATATGAATAAAGATGAAGAATAGACTTGCGTTATCGTGTTAGGTTCTTAGTCATTCTATTCAAGTTCTTCAACCAACTATTCGGATAACCACCAACCCTAACCAAAATTTCAGACACGATAGCTAAGACTGTCGTACTTTTGGGTGCCACTAAATCAGAAACGAGAACTCAATGCCAGAAGAATTTGGGAAACAGTGATGTAGATTAAACACAGAGGAATTTCAAGTCATTCGTCAGGGGATGCTGTTTTCACGCTTTCACTCCGCATCTCTCAGGTTGTTTCATATCAAGTCGAAATTTCTTTGTACACGCATTTGTCCTATCGTCACTTATAAAGTCAGTAATTTTCATGAACAGTCCCTAATAAATCCTCTTATTGGAGCTCTACTATAGTTTATCAGCTTTATTCCATAGAGACAAGTTATCTTTAGATGCTACCCGCACCTCTCAGTGAGGTTCATCATATAAAAGCCACAAGTACTGAAACTGTTGTTTCGATGTTTGTACGTCATGTAGCGTTGTGTAGCTAACCAATTTACCTTAGTTGTTTTTACGGCGAGACTTCAATTTATGGACTGACCAATTAGATGTAAGACAATAGATCATGTATTTTGTTGCGAAATTAATCCATCTGGCTAAATAGCGTTTTGGAATTTCAGCTGATGTCAGCTCGTTTTGAAAGTTCTAACTCCTAACCCTGTTCATCAACTGTAAATCATAATCTCAATTCCTCGCTCCAGTTTATAATCCTCACTTAGCCCTAGTGAGTCGGTGAGCGTCCTCAAGGTTGTATCGTAATACTGCGTTCACGAATTTACACGTCGTAAATGAGTCACATCAATTAATCTATCAATGTCTTTTTTTCAGCACATTTTACTCATATTTTATCCCTCTTTTATTTGTTTTGTAGTCTCGTGATAACGCTTTCCGGGGCCCATGCACCCAACTAGTATGATGATTATATATATGCTGTAATTTTCCCGAGTCACATTAAAAGTCTGTGATATGTCTAGCCGATCGCGTCAAAGGCGCAAGCGTTTTATCAGTGGGAGCACTTTGGATGAGACCTCTTCTTGTCGTGCAAAGAAAATGCTTATAAGTACTGTACATCATTCCAAGTCACAATGTAATGAGCAGCATACTTCTTTACCATCTTCACCAAATTCTCCTTTTCTGGATTCCGCAAATATGCTATTCCACAATTCTGATATCGGCTTGGGCACTTATGTTAATCGAAAGGATATTCCTGGTGATCGTTCTGATCCTGTTGAAGATGAGAATTCATTTCCCTCAAGCATGTTTTCTGAAAAGCTTGTACAGCCCGGACTAAATCTGGTTCCTGAACCTTCATCAACAAACGAACATGATTCTGTAAGCCACAAAAATTCCTCTGTTCCTAATAAAAGTTTATTAAATTCCCGTCCGAGTACTATACTGGATGCTGAATCCGATATCAACCTAGATAGAATGTTGATTCAGAATGAAAGAATGGTTTTAACGCCAACTCCAGTGGCAACAGACGATCCTGGCAGTTCCGAAGGGGAGTATGAAAATGAAAGTCGAGAATCAACTTTGCATCAAAATAATCCTTCAGTTCGTCATACCGCCTCAAGGAATATGACCAGTCAGTCTGGTTTGGTTAGTGTTCCGTCTAACCGAACTTTGGAACTTGTTGAATCCGAGTCACAGGGAAGTATATATTCCGACTCAGTTAAGGTTTCCGTTTTCGATACAATATCTCAGTCTACAGAATGCAGTTCTACTAGGTCTGGGAACTTGTCAGCACTGAACTCGACTTTAACCAAACCAAGTGGATTTGTGGAGTCATCAACGCCGAATTGTTTCGTTGCACTGGTGAATTGTAGTCCTCCACTTCAAATTCTATCCAGTCAGAAAATGCATAAAACTGTTAGTTGTCATCGGACTACCACTTTTTCTGAATCTTCAGTTTTACCAAATATGGAGAATATTGAGTATCATGATTCTTCGGGTAGTAATGGGATGATTGTAACGTGTGGTTCTCATCGCTCTCACAGGAGCGCAAATGGAAGTCCCTATAAAAAAGAAGCTGAATCAATAAAACAAAATCCCTGTAGTTTCGAAAATCAACCTCATAACTTTCATCCAACAATAAACGTGAACGACTTTTCAAGAGAAGCTCAACATAAGGTTCTACTAAGGTCAGAGTCACTGTCATCTTCAGTTTCAATCAGTAATAACAATTTTCTCCCTGATAAATTTCAACTGACACAAAAGTCTGATGATATCTCTACATTTCCTTCTGGTAAGTTGGATGTCACCATTTTCATTTTAAATAATTGTAATTTAGAACATTACAGGGCATCTAGTCATCAGTTTTAATTTTGCATGATGTTGTGAACCTGTTCCTCCATTGCCTTGTCAAATTATATATATATATATATATATATATATATATATATATATATATATATATATATATATATATATATAATGCAACTAGTCTCCAAACGCCCTGGTACGGCTGAGTGAGGGGAGTCCGCTCTTTTCGATATGCTTTCATTGGGCCACGCGTATTTAACCATTACTAGGGAAGTCTTACCCACTGCCTTCTTGTGGCAGGTGTTTATGAAGTTAAGAGGACGAAAAGCGAATACCTAGTGCTTAAACCGGGTTGGTGACTATGGGGGATCCACCCTGCAAAGTTGAAAAACCTTGATTCCAAGCCGATGTGCACATGAGCTCTTAGATCCTGAGGAGACAAAGAAAGTATGAGCCTATTCTTGGTCAACGGCTATCATGGGACTGTATCTCTTAGCGTTGCTCCATTGCCTTGTGAACTAGATCTCTGTGTCAGAAGCTCTGGGATCGGCTTCCTTACAAAGCCACTTGCTTTATGCACCCGGGCAGTATCCTTGCCACTACACATATTCAGTGGTTTGTGTGACGCATATATAATTTGTTACCTCTCTGTACAAATGTTTGTGTCTGAATAAACAGGCTGGATTCATGTGCTTAGCTGTAGTTCACCTGTTTTGTGACCTGAAGTAACTTATCTAAGAGCTCAGAACATTGAGCACAAAAATTTGCGCTTCATGGATTTCTTTGTTTCCGGTTAGTCAAACAGTTGAAAAGCTATTTCCTTCTTTCAGAATACAAATCATCTCCATGTTTGTGAATTAGTTTATAACTTTTGGTTCCACCTTAAAAGGATACTGTTTACTTGTCACATCAAACTTATAATTTCTCTTATTACGACCCGGCTATTCTTATTACTTAGTAATCTCGGACACCAATTCACTCGACAAGTCCCCAAATGAGGGCACGGTTGAACAGGAAGGAATTTATATTCCAAATAACAAGGGTAGATTAAAGTAAGAAGCACAATAAGAAAAATGTTAGTATATTTATGGTTCTTGCATGAGTAGATTCTAGTCTTCTCCGAGTACCAACGAGCACTGACTGTATCAGAAATAGTCAATCAGAGTGCACCAACACAATCGTGCACGGAACGTGCTTTAATCTAATCTATTTCTCGCTAACAGACTTTACACATTAGCCAATGAATACATGCAACCTTTTCAGTACTGTAGACACTCGCTTATCATACCTACGCTAGTTTGTTGAAATATCCACTTGGATCAATTCGGGCAACGAAGTAGAATGTTTTTCCATTTTGATCTGTTCAGCATCCCTGTATAGGTGGCTAGCTACGTGCTATTTCTAAGTCATATCCATTCATGCATAGCGATTGTAGGTCATCATTTTATTCCGCTCAAAACCCTGTTTTGTATATCTAGCTGACTCATTTTTGTTATTTTATATAGTACCATCTGAAAAATCAATAATTCACTGAATTATGGCTTTATAATTTTTTTCAGACCACATTTTCATCATAACTATTCCGAATTCTTCTGAGGTACCACCTACTTTTGTTAAGACATGCAGAGATTCTGAAAGTGGTTTCTTCGATACTCCCACGTCTCATAATGTAAATAATATCCCAAGTCCAGAAGTCGGTCACAGCTATCCTCTCCGATCCCGCCTGCGACAGGCATCCTTGCGATTGCAGTGGCAAGCCATGCAAGTAGCTCCAAAGTCATTTGGGCAATTACCTACAGAAGTTGTGTTTCGCATTATCCAGTATTTGAGCGTGCAAGATGTATTCCGCCTTCAGCGTGTTAACCACCGGTTGAAATCTATTATTGAGCAGTATCTTCTACTGGTTAAGCGCATTAATTTTAGTAATGGTCTCCCGTTCGCATTCTTACCAGATTCAATCACAGATATAGCTCTGAAACGCATGCTAAGCCGTACGCCAGAAGTCACACATATTCTTGGCTTTTATCCTCGTAAAATAGCAGAATCTTATCCATCCGACGGACAATACTCGAACATAAGTTCTGGTCATAATACATTAACCTACGGTGGGATCATCACAGCCTTTCGTCTTTGTCCGAAACTCCGCTCAGTTGAACTGATGGATGTCGAGTTGATGAGTGAGTTGGTTCGACATCTCCCGCGCATCAAATTTCACGGCATGTTTCGAAACCGCCCAGATTCTTGGGATTGTGAATACGCAGTTCCTCTGCCACCCGAACCGAATGCTGAAACTATTTCAATGGATAGTGACCATGACTCTATGACAAGCCTCCCAAATTCACGTGACGAGTCCCATGTCGACTCAAAATCCAAGCCTCTTTTTGGCAGTTTTATTAGCACGTTATTTTGTTCCGCGACTGCTGCTTTAGCGCTGGGAAGTAGTCGTGGTAAGCGAAAAAATGTAAATCGTTTAAAATCTAAAAGCCAAACAGGATGTGGATGTTCCATCCAGTCATTCCAATCTCTAAATGCAGCATTTTCATTTCCATTATGGAAGAATGAAAACAGTCAATCACTTACACAGATGACCGCACAATCAGTCCATAAGGTTGCTTTGCGTCATGCGAATTTCGCAAATTGGTTTGAACCTATCGGTGAGTTGCCTCTTGGCCAAGGTTCACCTTCTACAGTGCCTCACTTTCTTCCATCTCGGCTGTTCACTGCATTTAATGGTGGTCCTAGTTTCCCTCCCGCGCACGAGAATATCCCAAATAATTCTGTCCCACCTATGGGGCAGGACTGTTACTCCAGTGCCGTGGAATCTTTACGCAATTTAGCTGTTTCACATTTTCTGCAACCTGGTTTGCCACCCATTGAAGCCGAGCTAATTGCTGTGGCTCCTTTTGGCTATTCTCGATGTTCTTTACATGGTGTAGGATCTAGTCGAAACAGCATTCGTAATGCTCACGGTCCAGTCTTAGCATTTGCCTTCGGGGCTATATTCGTCCCTCCACAAGGAGTTTCGCCGTTCATTTTGCCATCCAATAACGCGTCAAACTGCCGCTTTATCGATGCAAGACAGTATAATGCCGTCCTATTGGGAGCTAACTTACTGCGCGGAGCACAAGGACCTCATCTTGCGTTTGAGCGTATATTCAACTTCCCGCAAAATGTTAATCAAAATAATGTTCCACGTCAAGTTCAGCTGCATGATCAAGTAGGAGGGCGAAACCAACAAAGACAGCACCCTCAACGTTTTCGTCGACCACGTACAAGCATAACAAGCTTGAATGCCTCCGGTCCATGGTTGGTCTCCCCATTTCCCAGTCAACTGCAGTGGATTATTTTACCTCATGCTATTACAAATCTAACCAAATTAGATCTAGTTTCTGTCGCAATTAGCGCTATTCCACGACTGGACAATATTAAATATCTACATCTTAAATGGGTAAGCACGAATTAGTTTTTTGGAAATATGTCGTTTTAAATGTAATAATTAGTCTAAAAATACTTTCTACAATTTACTTATCTCTGTCATTCGGGAAATTATGAAGATTACGATAATGTAACTACTGTTAGTTACATATCAGATGTCTTTCACTTTGCTAGAGTTATCAACATTTTTGCTCCATATTTAAACCTCATGTTTTCGAACTCCTGGGCGCCACCTACACTGAAACTTAGAAACCATGTACACGTTCATGCGATTAGTATATTGAGTATAGTTTGAACCTTTAACCCATTGGTTAAAAATTAAATCCTTACATCGATAAACCCATAAATCCTATATGTTAGATTATGAGATAAATATATCAGGGAAACAGATTTACAAATTGGCTTAGTCTCAGATTTATTTAGTTTGAATAGTTCGACTGGAATTCCAGAGTATACAAAATCCACTTTCAAAAATTAAAAGAAATTATTACATGAGATCCAATGTGTTAATAGTTTTCAAGTAGTCTAATTATTTGAGTATGAAGTAATTCTAAAATTCATCATTTTATTCGTTAATTTACAAATCTCAATAAATAACTCATTATCCAATGACGATCACAGGAAAATAATTTTGAATGTACCGTAATAATGTACAGATATTTATTACTAAAGTAATTTACTAAACACGAACCATTTCTCGCCTCACTGATTTTAAAGATTCTCTAGCTGATATACTTGATACCACCTGGATATTTTTGAATGTCACAGGCTTCTCTATTACTTGATTGGTTGGTTTTCTGACTTTAGTACTGAACTGTCTTCATTATGCGCGTTCATTTACTATTGATTGTAAAGGAACATTAATTACCTTAAGATGCTATCAATTTAAATTACTTCAATACATTGATTAGTAAATTATTCAAGACATTTGACGATAACTTTAGTCTGAATCTCTAAATAAATGTTCATTGACTAATGGTCGTTTAGATCACATAAACACTTAGCATAATTTGCTGACTTGTAGGTATGAATTAGGATAGCTAGCGCAAACAAATTTTTAAAGATATAACCATCTTTTTTTCTACAACGCATTTAAATTGACATTTCATTATGCAACAAATTGTTAAAGTAACTCAGTCTGCAAAATAGTACACATTTCAAGTTGAAATTTTAAAATTCACTTCCTATTATTTTACTCGTAAATTTCAATTTGGTGTGTAGTTAGATTTTAAAATTAATCCAGTTTCCTTATAACTACAATACATCGATCAATTCCTAATATAGCGATTTCATGTGGTAGTATCTGCGAATTTGACGTAACATTCCTTACATTCAATTTAGGTTGTATTCGCTTCAGCTGATCCATTCTTCAGTTTTTTGGCACCGAAATTGCAATCATTTGTCATGAACAACTGTAGTACACCATCAAGAGTTGTTCGATTTGTTCGTATTTTCTCGGCTCTTTCACGGGCTCCTCAGCTTACACGGCTTGAGTTGGTTGGTACACGCTTCATTGGTATGTCGTCTGTATGTATATATTTTATTTTTTTGTTAACACTATTACCTAAGCTCAATTGTATTCCAGCCCACATACATTTGGTCTAAGTATTTTCCTCCTCATATATGAAATATTTTACCAATTGCTTTCTAACCTATGATTTCATTAAGTTAGTAAGTAATTTGCATGAATTTCATGAGCATAATACTCATTTTCAGGGGAATTTGTGCAAACTGTTGGTTAGATACTGATGTTTAACTGATAGATTACATCTATGTTCGTTAAAAGTTGTGATTAGTTGATTTGTAACATCATCTTTTATTAGACTAGCTTATGAGGTGTCGAATCAAGTTAACCATTGGTTTATTATTTACTAAATATATATCTATTGATAATTTTATCATAACCCCACTGCTTTCCTAGATGGTCTAATTGGACACATAATTGATGACAGTATGTCACACGGGCGTGGATTTCGTAATCTTCAGCGTTTGGTGCTTTCTAGCAACAAAGATGCATCTGAAGTAGATATTGGATTGCTTCTGCTGGCTGGTCAACAGTCTTTGAATCAAGTAGCTCTCCAAATGCTTCATACACGAAATTCATTATTTGAAGGTCTTTATCATGCCGGTGCCGAATTTCCACGTCTTGAAAGTCTTACTCTTGGTAGGTTGATTATTATCATGCTTTCCCAGTATACATGCGTGTCTTGTAGAGACTCATTTGAGTTATGTGTTTCGAAATATTCTAATGAGTATATCATTATAAATTATTGTTAGACCATAGTGAGTTTTACTTACCAGATCCAGATTCCAGATCCTACTCTACTTTCCTCGATAGAATCAAGAACTATGAAAACGAATACTTCGTTACTGAGTTACATTAAAAAATATTCCCTGCCTTTGTAGGTTACTGACATTGGATCATGTGTCTTCAAAGCATCGCTCGCGTATTTTGGGACTACCGAATCGTCAATACCGATGTTTAGGTATAGTGTACTGGGTAAGAATGGTAAGTCGGTCAAGGTTGAGACATGTACTACATATGCCCAACGAACGCCTACCTTGATGCGCGATATTATCTGGTGTAGGAGTGAGTAGGTTGGAAGGAAGTTGGGAATAAGTGTTGCAAAACCAAAACGTGCATCGGTTCCTGAAGTCATTAGCAGTTAGACTGAGCTGTGTAGTTATACTCAGAATACACGTGGATGGGGACTTGAGATGATGTCTCAGAATTGTACGCAACAATGCAAATGAATTTAATTTTTGTCCTGAAACCTCCCAATGTCTTTTTTCCTCCTACTCCCAAATTTTACTTTACCGAAACTGCTATTACTTTTATTGCTCTGGCATTTGTCATGATAATTTCATCTCCCTGTACTGTTTATCTAAATGATGTCTTATCCTGTTATATCAGTGGTGTAGGGACCTAAATTGATACACATGTACCAGGTTCTTCGTTGCATATGACTGGCTGATTAATTGTTTATTTTATCTGAATTGGTGTGGTAAATATAGTTTCCATCATCCTACAATATTTTCATTATTTAATATTATCTTTTTACTGTGTTTTGACATCATAAAGCAATCTTGATCAAATGTACTTTGTCTGTTATTCCTTAATACTTCACTAAATTGTATCTATTTTGTTTAGATTAAACTTTTTAACGTTTACCTTTCAAGGGATTCGGCATCTCCCATTTTCTAAAATGTATATGACGTTATAGTTATACCACCTTTTTAGAGTATGATTTTTTGTATTTGCCTTACAACCTTCACAATTTACTGCTATAGTGTTTATTCCGTCAATAATAATGATATATGTTTCATGCATTTTATGTTTCACATAATTAACAATGTTACGAATCCTTAGTCAAAATAATTTGTGAATCATGTCTTTTTCCATATCCTATTTTTTGACATACCCTCTATAATCATTCGCATCATTGTAATAAAGATGATTTGTACGTTCAATCTGTTTTAAATTTCTAGGTTATTTAGATCCTTACCAGTCACGTTTAACAGTTTCTGAATTGATGAGTTTAGGTATTGGGGAATCATCTGATCATTTGTCACCTATTTGTATGGTAACCGATTGGGGTATAGCGCTTGCATTTTTCATCTGTCCTCGACTCGTAAATATTGTCATTCGAAATGCACCATATTTAAATGATATAGCACGATGGTTTTCTGCTGGATTTTGCGATGAAGAATCACTACACATTCGACCGACAATTGTACCTTCATCAGCTAGCGAGGATTGTACTCAACCAGCTGCCGACTGTCAAGAAAATTCTACACAAACTTGTGTAACAGACAAACCTTCAAAAACCTATTTCTTACCTCTACGATCACTAACATTGGAAAACTGTCCTGGGATATCACTTGAAGTAAGTCTAGAACTCGATAATTACCACTGTGAATATGATGTTGACAGGCAAAAGGATTTTGTGAACATATTAATGCAGTTCACTATTCCGCATATAAATTTTGTCGAGGCAACATCCTCTAATTTCTCTCCGTCCCATTATTGACAACTGAAAAGGAGTATCTAAAATTTAGGGCAAATAAAGAACTTCCAGTTGATAGGAGTGACAAAAACGTGATTTCCATGAAAATGTTGGTACAAAAGGACTCCAAACTTCGTGGAGGACATGGTACAATACCGAAAATTAGGCCTGACAACCAGGTCTTAATCGGAGAATCAGTGACCCACTAGCGGATTTCCTCCAATCACCTATGTCATTTTACTATGCTTATTTTTGGCTCATATTTTTTATAAAGACATGTTTTACTACATAAAAACCTATTCTTTTGGCGTGTTAATCTTGTCTTTGATTTCAAATCATTCAGTGGTTAAGTCAATTCAGTCTAGCCAATAGCTGTCACTCGGCCACATCATATCGTTGTGTTCACCTATCGATTAGCATTCTGTTCATTGATTTTAACAATCGAAAATTTCGTCTCAATCAATATCTCCATATTGCAAATATGGGTCAGTTATCTCCCCTTTGTTAGCCTATTGAATATAAGTGCACACATTAGTCCTTGAGACTTGATATTATACGTTGTCTTATTATTATTATTATTCTGACTTTTAACTTTATTTCTCCTACATACTGGGTGGTCGGAACTATTGGCAATATGCTGCATGCTCAAAACCCTTTCTACGTACTTCGAAAGAGACTGTATGGTAATATCACCAACCTTCACACAAACAGTTTAAGTGAAGACCGGATGCATAAAGCTTGTAGTTAGAAAAGCATTTATGTAATTCTCATTTTATTAGTTTCCTCTGTCACTGCCCTGATATGTGACAACTTCGATCCGTACATATTCCTGTCAGATTCTGCGTTTTCTATGACCGTCTGATTAATAGACTATATGTACTGACAAGTTGTACAGAAAAAATAGAGATTTGTATTGAATGCAAAAGTTCTCTTACGACAGACCAGTTTTTCTCTTCTATTGTCACCGTGAGTCAAGGATGGTTAAGCTGTTTCTTGTAATCGATAGTTTACACCAGGCTTATATAATTCGCAATTCTTTGTCTGATCTTTGCATCATTTAGGTTAAAAATATTTGTTTCTCTCTAGACTTGTTTGTGATTGATCCGAGTAAATTAATTTTGATATAACATCTACAGAGTCCTTTACCTTTTCCATTGTTTTGTTTAATTATGCTTAAATGAGTCATTAAATATGAGTTTGGTCAACTTAAGTAGTATCATTTCATAAAATCTTACCAACGATTACTAGAACACAGTTGCATTTTTGTCAATTGTTACAGTTAGAAAAATCTCGTAAACATTCATTCATACATATATTTTCTTTGATATTTGTATAGTATACCGAGATTTTTGTTGTTATCTGTGTATTGTTTTCAAATTTGATTTGTTAATGTTTACTTTTTCACACAATGATTCCCCTCATTATATTAAAATGCGGCTTATTTTTTTTGTAGAATCTTGAACGTGTTTTGATTAGCGGACATCCTTTCCCATGTTTAGAAACTGTCGTCTTAAGAAATATGTTTGCGCCTCAATACGGTGAGAGCAAAGGCTTCATGAATACACCGCATCTTTTTGTTGATCAACATGATCAATGTGTTACCGGACAATGTATAGATTGGCGTAAACTTGTTCACCTTTTGTGCTTATCAGATTTATTAAGTACTCGTCGACTGGGCTATTCTCCTTTATCACCCGAAGACTGTATTGGCTTAGGTGCATCCGTTCGAGAAGTAATTCATATGAATCCACCACGTGGTTTTCTACCAGATTCTTTACGAACAAAACCACATGATTTGTTTGTAAGTGATAGTATAGCTTTGTTATATTTCATTGTATTCTATGTAAATGTTTTTAGACCATACATCTTTTATTCACATTGTTGTTTTTTGGTTGAACACTGCTATTTGAGAAAGTAAACAGATCGAATAACTAACTTTACATTTTACGTATAAAAATACATTGGCTCCATTTATCTTTTCTGTTTAATAAATTAGCAGTTAAGAAGAGAAAATCACTCAAAATACATATTAAGACTGATACTAAACGAATGATGTTAAGATAAGATATTCATTGTTGGAGATGCAAATCCCCAGAAGTCACTTCGTAAACGTCTTATTTTTTGTAATTTTATTTAGGAAATTTGAATTTATCGTTTTCGCAGCGGAAGTGCCCATTTTACCTTCAGTTTGTATTTCCTACTTGGAAGGACCCTAAATGTCGTTGGTTCGTTGCGACGTTTCGCAAGGACTTTTTATTCTATATATATATACTTAAGTTGTGTGCTTGGTTGTTCATGCTTCTGGCTGCCTGTGGAATTTATCTTTCCCTCATCTGAACCTGTTCTTCTCCCTCTAGTTAGCAGGGCTGGGACGCATCGGAATAGTTTAGCTTGTCTTGTCGTTATCTCGCCGATCTTTCGTTCCATTCGCCGATTTTGGACGATCTCAATCTCTCCAAACATATCATTCGTTTTTTAAAATGCTATTTTGATTGCATTTAAATCTTGAACTACTAATTTTCAACATATCGACGATTCCAACAAGGAATTAAACAGTACTCAATATTATTATTAAATCCCTTCATAGATTTGTGTTATATTCTCAAGACCTTTGTTAACCTGTTCCTATATCAGTCATAATTTCACATTTGATTAGGTTTATATTTTTTTGTCTTGTCCACTTTAATTAATTTACAGATTCATTCATTCTTATGTTATTCACTTCAGTGACTGACTGGCTAATTTTAATGAACTTGTTACTTCTGTGTATAATATCACTGTTTACTAGGTTTACATGTATTTCAACTTAGTTTTGGACTCTTTTTATAATCTGTTATCATGTTGTGTTTTATACTGAGAAGATATCACTAATAATGTAGTTGATCTAATATGAATAATGGCGATCATGCGACTAATATATAACAACACACAAGTGAAGATAGCAAGAATTAAACTTTGTAAAAGTTCTCATTTTTCAAGAATGACAAATGTAATGAGTAAACACCACTGTGCACAACTTTGAATAGACATAATTAAAAGAGACAAATACGAGCAACAAATAGTACAAATAATCTAACTATACATGATGTTTAGGATTAATGTCTCTGTGTTGATACACAAAAGTGTAAATTAAAAAGAATTATTTATATAAGTGTTTTTTATAGGGAAACTTCGACACAAAATTTCTATAGTTGAAAAATTGCATACTTAAGTGAAATATGGGGCGTTTTCTAGCTTTTTATTAATTTTAATTGTTTGTGTTAATTCAATTCGGTTATTTGTTTGCTTATTCTTTGAGGGAGGGCCTTACACTAACCAAGAAATTCAATTTTTAACTCATTGGAATATATATTACATATATCATTATTGCTACTATTTGCAATCTGCTCAATGTCCAACTTGCTTGAAATTATCAAGTTGAACCTTGCTTATAATGCTTCTCTATTCTAAGTCACATTAAAAAAATAAGTGATGTATTCATGTTGTCGTTGAGAGAATGGTCAATGCCAGTTTTAATATCTGTTATGTGTGATAAAGTTGATTCTGATTGAATATTCTACAGTTTTTTCGTAGAAATCAGATTTTTTACCATAATAGTTTTTTTTTAAAATCTATCACAGTGTTCACTTCGAGCTCACACCTACTTGAATAATCTGTTGGAATTAGACGGTTCCTGCGGTTGGTCAGTGTCAGCACCGACCAGAGTGATTAAAACGTTGTTTTCACACAACATACATATCCCAGTGTCAGATGTTCCCGAACGATATTCCAGTAAACCGGATGATGATAATGATTTTATGTCTCGTTCCACACAAACATGCATTTGCGGTGTATTAGAATGGGATGTTACTCTAAGAATGTCACAGTCACAATTGGCTACTGATCAAAAAATTGTGAGAAGTAAACTTGTTTCTCCTGACAACTCAAAAAACAATCAAAATTGCCTCAATGTACGTATTGACACCGAAACTAGTCGAAATACTGTTCCAAGTACCAGTTCACACTCTGGAAAGACATTACTGTTACGTTCAACAGTAAATCAAAATAACGCTTCTACTCCAATAGCATCTCAATTGCAACTTGGTGGTTCTTTAGCATTTCATCCTTTTCCTCCGTCGATTCAGCATAAAAATTTCTATAGGATGATTACTATGTCAGAATGGAATGAATTGATTGCCAAGATGTCCACACCATTTGGTCTTCCGTGTTGTCAGATTATTTACCCTGTGACTGGTTCAAACGAGTGCTCAGGGTGTGCTTCTGATCCACTGCTTTTTTCTCAGGGTATTTCAAACTATCAAGTAAGATTTGTAATGAAAACGATTCCTATGTTGTCTTTATTTTGTCACTTGCTAATGCTGTCTGCCAGAGAGAGTGTTTTTTACTCGTCTTCAATCAAAGGTGGATTGAATGATTTTCGAATCTACAATCTGTTGTTTGGAAGTCAAACGATATAATGACCACCACTGAGGCACCACCGTTTATACCTGTTTTGATTTCTGATTAAATTGTTTACTCGCCACTGTAATCGTTATTATAAGATAATATTTCCAAATCATTTAGCTCTATTGCGGGTGGTGTAGTAGTAGTCGTCAGTCAGTCACAGCGTGATGTGTTTTCGTATTACTTTATTAAAGATTTGAGATTTTAATAAATAATTGGCTTCACAAACACAAGAGATAAAAGAATCAGTTATACAGTTAGAATTAAGCGTTTCATACAGATGTCGTAGTGACCACTCATTTACAAATATTTTGTCACTAATGTTTTACACAAAACATCAAGTAATATGTTTATTTAGTGTTGTTCGACAGAACAACATATATTGGTAAAGTTAGTTGCGTTTAGCTTATTGTTTATATTTTTTGCTAGCTACCCCGTGACCATCGACATGGGAAATAAGTTACGTAAGAGCTATTCGAGCAGTGGGTTTGTTGTTCAGGCTCTTGAATTCTGGCCACTAAGTTAAAGATTTGAACAACAGTCCATCTACTTCGGTTTAGACAGCCGATTAGTTTCACTAGCCCTCAAACTTAGGGTGAACCTGTGTCTGGTCAATAGGTTAATAATAAGACGACATCAAAGCTAGCACCTGTTCGCGGTCAAATACGAATTTCAGGGTGTGTAGTCATAATGACTACATAGCTTGGAACGTTATCGGATATGTTCGTCAGAATAAAAGTCAGTGAGAATCCTGTTGTACTTCTCCTTTCACATTCTTCATAAAAGTAAAGTTCACCTTTCAAGTTGGTAAAATCTACCTCGTCCGTTTTCTTTAAATCAAACTGTCTTTTTAACGAGTACTATTCATCATTCATTCATTGTTTTATTCCATAACTAAGGAATAATAACTATATCTATTTACGGTTACCAAAGAATTATTTTATTCTCCAAACCTCAATTATTTGTTATTCTTTCTTTATATCTAGATATCTGCTCCTTGTAAATTAATCAAACAGTCTAGTCACACTGCTACAAAATGGTTAGCTCGTGATGCATGTATAGATACCAGTGAATTAAGATGTTTTACATTGCCAAAACCACAAATCCTTAATATTTTACAACCATTGAATGCTATTCATAGTTGTTTAACTTCATTACACTTTGAAAAAGTAAGTCAAATCATAATCAGTGTGTGTATGTATGGCATAAATTATGTTGTTTCAATTCATCAAATGTTGTTTCTATGAATGTTATTTTGTTACAAAAAATAAATATGATCAGAGAATAGAAAGTATGGAATGGTATTATGTTCAGTTAGTCATAGCTATCATCAATGTAGAACCTGGAATAATTGACCCGCCCAAGTTGCCATATGAAATCAACGAAACATTGAGATAAAATGGACTAGATTTGTATCGGGAAAAAAGTTGAAGTAATAGTAGTAGCTATGTTGGTGACAAAGACTAAACGAAAAAAAAATATATATTAGTGAAATAACAAACATAGTAATGATGCTTTAAATCTCAAAGAAGAGAAAAACTGAATGTCTCTGTATCATTGTGACAAATTTTGAGCTATTTCATCCTATTAGGCCCAAAATCTCGATAAAAATTAAGAATATATACTGTCGATTTTGGACCCTTTCATCTATGGTTTCCAACCATAGAGTTATGATGCAGTGGGTTATTGGTCATGAGCTATTTTACTTTCAGTCACTAAGTTACATAATCAAATCCCTCTCCATCCATTTCGATTTGGGCATCCGTTTATTATCACCAAACCAAGTACACGACTATTAATGAAGTACGGTTATCTCATAAATTATAACAAGGTAATTTACACCTGGTTTTGGTACATTTCAACGGTTAAAGACCTTGTAGGCTAACCTCATGTCTTGGTTTGACCACCTCCACTCATCTTTTAACTAACATTATGGATGTGGGCTATTTCTACCCATGACAACTGTGTAGTCGATTGGCTTGATCGACGCAAATTGTTTCCGAGTAACGATTGCATGGGAAATCGAACTGTTGGTTCCACCCCACGAACAAATTGGCTAGAAAATAAGATTGCTTTGACTTAGACAAAAACATTAATGATCTGAAATCACTCATGTTATGTCCCGATAAGCATAATGAGTAATAACTTTTGTGGTCCATTTATAGACCAATACTAAACGTATATTTTTATCGTATAATTGTTAAATAACTAAACTATTCATATTCCTCTTATTATAAACTGTTTTGACCTATGAACAATTATTATACGTTTTACCATTCTTGAATTATGCTCTGTCTATTAGTCACTGCCTCCCACATTCACAACCACATTTGGCCAAATCTTGTACAAATGTTGTTTTCTATTTTAAGGTACGATATGGTCTGTTTGATTGGTATATAAACTCAGTATGTTTGAAATATAATGATTCATATCGCAGAAGCTTAGATTGGTGTTCTGAACTGGCTGGGCTAGACAGGAAGCAGGACTAATAAGGACTCTAGGCTGCTCATACGGGTTTACGCATCATTGATCCGATCGATAAGTCACTGCTATCTATTTGGCAATATCGTTACGTTATACATTAACAGGGCACACAAGTCACAAGTATAACAACTCAATACATAATCGACTGTGGAATAACGGTTTTGTTGGTGACTCGCTAATAAAATTATTATATAACTACCATTTAGTCAGTTCTCGGGCATCAAACCACGTAATTAAACGTTTGCTCACCGCCTCATAGATTTCTCTATTCTTTGTATCGAAATTCATACAACTGACCTCAGGGTTATTCACTTGAACCATGTACAATTAACTTATTAAAGATGTTTGTGATCAAATATTAGCCACTTACATATGTCTTTTACTTTGATGGGCCATGTTTCATAGCCATAAAGTAGCTCTAAGAGATTTTATACAGAATATTTGCTGCTTGACACATTTATAAACATCTCACACGTGCCATAGATAGGGGGAGTTGTCATAAGTCGGTTTGGGCACCCGGGCGGTATCTCAGCCCTCACACAAATCGAATGATTTGTGTGGCGCATATCTACTCAGTGCCTCCTTGTACTAATGTTTATATGTTTAAATAAATAAATAAACATAAGTCGAACAAAATCTGTCCGGAAATTGGGTCGACTACCGATTTACTCGGTATTTCAAGAGGAAAGAAATGGTCAACATGTTCAACAGCTTTACATATATGATAGTGTTCATTCGTTACACAAGTGTTAGTTGAATTGTTTGTAGAATACTTTAAACAAAATTTCTCTTCCTCGTGTTTTTATTGGTTCTCCCATTGTTTGTTTTGAAAATATGCAATCTTCGTGTTCGTATCTAAATCTATTTTGCTTTAGGACCTAGTAACTAGACATAGATATATTGTGTATATATATGTGTGTAAATGATAAGGTTCATTTATTTATTTATTTATTTATTTATTTATTTATTTATTTCGTATTGTCACATGCCTAACACGAAATGACTCATCGTAGATACCTAAATCACTCACTATACTTTTCACACAGATACGGATGCAAGTATACCAGAGTTTTATTTACTATATCTGACAATTTGTGGAAGGATCTGTACGGTTTGAAGATGTTTTTCCTCCATCACAAACTGTGACATCAGTTAAAGGATCATTTGAAAAAATTCGACAAGCATAGATAATTATTTCGTACTAGTTTCAGACTCTTCAGACTGCATTCTTTGATGGCATTTGTCTTGTGAAATTCATCCAGGCAGTCTGCATCTGTCTACATTATTTGAAAAAAATAGTCATTGCCTTCATAGACATACGTGTTAGCATATTTCTCAACCATATCATTCAATCAAGGTTCACAACCACTTTACACCACTACTGTTCACACTGTAATTTTTTTTATTTAAAAGTGATATTTCGAAGGAAATCATGCTTAAATATTTTTAACCTGCGTTTATTTTATAACAATTTAATGCTTAGTAGCAATTTCTTAAGAAACCCTTGATATATATTGATGTTGCTCACATTACTCAACAGTAAAGCTTTCCTAACACAGTGCGGAAGATTCGAACTCGTACCACCTATTTTCTCAATCTGAGATGGGGGTACAACTAAGGTATTCGAATCGTGCACAATATTCTCACTTTATTCTTATCTTATCTTATTTATTTATTTATTTCAACACATAGATAATGGTACAAAGAGGCACCAAATACATATGCGCCACACAAATCTCATTCGATATGTGTGAGGGCTGTGATACTAACCGGGTGCCCAAGCCGAACCAGGTGGTTTTCTTAGGGGGCCACACCCCGAGCCTTCGACCTGAAGGTCTGATCCACAAGGCAGTGGAGCATCGTAAGGAGATGCAATCCCATGGAATCCGGTGACCAACAATTGGTTCATACGCCATTTGTTCCCTCAGGATACTGGAGCCCATGTGCACCATTGATTTGGTTTGGGATTCGGTTAAATCGCCGGACATTCGCTTTTCGTCCTCTCATTTTCGTAAACAACACCCCGCCGCGAGAAGGCAGTGAGTAGGACTTCGTATCTATCCTCTGCCATGTTTTGCCATATACGTTAATTTTATTTTTATTTCCGTTGTTTACAGGTTGGGATTTCTCATATAAATTTGTGTGAATCTCCACATTTGAAAAATATCACTTTAGAAAATTGCACTGAACTAAAAGCTATCTTATTTGACAATCATTCTTCAATAGTTGATTGTACTAATCAACAGAATAATGTCGACTGCAAAGCTGTCGATCGATTCCCAGCACTTCGACGTATTCGAATTATTAATTGTCCAAAGTTTGCAATCTATAATTTCCTATCCAGTGTTGGTAAACTTTACCCTACACACAATGAAAATATATCTATTACATACAGGTAAGTATTTTTCCCCATCAAATTATTCATAGTATACCATCTGAACATTTGCTTTATATAATAAAAATCATTGTTACATCAAAAATAGGCACTTCTAGGAGCGTTTTGCATTCTGGCTCATCAGTTTTAAATTTAGACGCTCTCCTTGTGGCCTGAACGTCCCGGGTCCCATGCCTGGTAAGATCTTAGATTTCCACTGCTGAGGAGTCTCACGCCAGGACGAAATGACTTTTTGGTACTTCTTGATTTTCAGTGGTTTCCTAAGACCAGTCTGTGATGTAAACTATAGAATTTCAATAATCTGCACAAACCTATTGTAATCTAAAAAATATTGATAAAGGCAGATAACATTAAAGGAGCAAATATTAATAATGAAGGAAAGTGTAGGATTTAAGCTGAAGCTAATGTCGTGATAGCATTTTTACCAGCCTAAAATTTATGAATTCCCTGTCTTGTTCCCTCTGTTTTTAAAATGCTTAGCTGGTTCCATTATTCTTACGTTCGGAATAACATTTATTATTATTAAGTGGTCTACTCACAAATATTCACCTGTACATTTTAATGAAATCAGTGTATTTGATAAGTGTTTAGGTGATTATAATGTTCATTCATTCCACTATTGCTTTGTTGATGATTTCATCAATTTTTCAACAATGATTCGAATAAATCCCTCTTAAATCATATGCTCACTGCATATTGTACTTATTTGCCATCTTTTCCATAAAATCCATAAATAAACATCTATATTCCGTCCTCACACTTAACAGTGAGTATCTATATACTTGGGTTCTTTTTCCTTTCAATTTCATTACTGTCGTAGATTTTTCCGCATAAGATGTTATCACTAGTTGTTTGGGTAAAATGTGTAAATCCGTACTAGTGATAGAATAAATTTTACTGTCCAAAACTTGTGTATACGTACAAGATCGAACTCCAGGGGCTTTCGATCTCACAGCGAACACGATACTAATTTTAATCCACTAAGTTGAATTCAATGATTCATATTCCCAAACTTATTGATCGTCGTTATAACTCTGCTCATTATTACAGATCTGATTACAGTAACAAATTCTCGCACCAATTATGCTGTCGACCATACTAACGTATATCTCATATGCATCTGTTAAAAAAATATAGACTAAAATGTATCACAATGGTGTTTATTTCCCATCACTGTTCAGCAATAATGGTTTTCGACAATTCCCACATCTCATATTGCGTCTGATGTGCGAGTTCCGAAACACTCTCATTTCTCTAGTGAAATAAACAGAGTGAAAATATGCCAACCGACTATGTCGCTTCCTCTTTTTTACTTTATGGTATTTGCATTCACAATAAGTTCTGGACCTCCTGGATTTCAACTTTACTGAAAACTTTTGAATATCTGGCAATAGTCGAGGTAGTCCGCGTGGGATGTACATGTACTAAAAAGTGATTGATCAATTGCGTTCCTTAGCATCAACGAAAAGATACCAAGCTTTGTCAAAATAAATCTTAAACCGGAGATTTCATTTCATCAAATGCATAGTTCTAAAAATAGATGACTTAGTAGGTTTAGCACTCTAATGCTGGCAATATGATCGCAGCACTTTAATGTCAGTTGTTGTTTCCATTTGGTACCAATGTGGTATGACGAAATGTAGTTATTATTTAATTCGTGTACATATTTTATAAACAAATCGTGTTGATACGAAATAGATCATAAAAGTCGAGTATGGATTGCATTTCGGATGCGTATATATCCCAGACTTGCTAATATTAGACGGCAGATAGACAACAATGGATGCAGCGAATATTCAGAGCATTCAATTTCGGGGAGAAAACCTATTTGAAAGTGTAATAAGGTAGTGACCCAGTTTTTATAGATCATGTAAGGGAATCCAAATAGTCGCTGGACACATATGTATCGTTTATGCATATATTTGCATAAAAAATAGTCAAGGTTAAGGGTTAGTAATTGGTATAAAAGCAAAATAACTGTAATAGCGTTAAGGATAGTTTACCTGGCCGAAAGCTAGAATAAATCACTTAAACACGTTATAAACTAATACGGCTTTCTTATACTACTCCATCACCATTGGTCAACTTGTGATGTAAAATGGAACAGTAGCTACTGTCAACGTTTATAAACACCTTCAAATAGTCAACTTTTGTGTTAATCGGTTGTGTCTTGATAAAAAATCTTGTTTTATTTTGACCTTATTATTTTTTGGTTAAAAATTAACCTTTTTTATAGGCCATTTGGACAATATAATACTCAGGTAGAACGAGCATTATGGGATTATTGTCAGCATGCGCACATACTTATTTCACATGACTACAAAGTTTGGGAAAGTGAACGTGCTATGGAAGACTTTCATTCTACGTTTGATCAGTTGTTCAGAGAAGTGATCAATTTCTCTGAGTAAGTTTATATTTGGCGTGTGTGCAATCTAGTGAAAATCTTTACTGAAATGATGATCTACTGTAGATGACTCTAACTGTTTAGAAAACATTTATCTTGAATCCTACTTTTTCATTTCAAAAATATATACCTGATAAGTTGGGATAGGAAGGCGAGTTGACGTTTTTTCATAACTCGGTGTCATATTTTATGAATAATTTAAGACTGGTAAATCTTATTGCAGTAGCCAATAGATCAAATGAAAGCTTATGTTAAAAGCTATATATATAACAGTTCATAAATAGAACCTAACAGTTACCATTCATTTATTCTTCGTTCGGATATAACAGTATATCCTCGATCAGGACGGAAATCAACCCGTCCCCCGGAGGGCCAGTATTTCACGTGTTTTGAACATTCTGCAAAGTAATACGGATGCTAATAGTTCGGATGCAATTGGAGGTAGATTTGTCTCCCGATAATCCCACAGACGACCTAAACCCATTTTAAAGTTAGGGACGACTACAGTCTTATTGCAAGCTGTGTGGAACATTCTAACTGCCAAGCGTTTGCAAACAATTTAGTCAGTTCCAGAAATATAAGGTCGCCACCATCTTTTTAAAAACATCCGGAGATAAGTCATCTGGGCCTCTTGGTATTTGTTGCTTTAGAAGTTGCAATTCCTTTCGAACTTCCATCTCGTCAAGCGTGTCAGTCCGATACTGGTTATAGAGGACAAAATAGACAAATCTTCCTTATCTGTGAACCTGCTTTAGGCGACGGACATCCTCTTTCCCCTCATTTTCGTTAACAACATCCTCTAGAAGCTCTAAGTTTATGACCGTTTGGAAACGTTTTGAGAGGATAAATTGACTCACTGTCCACTATATCAATGCATTCGAGGACCTTTCTTCGATTATTATTATTGTTATTATTATTTCTCATCTAACAGAAGAGAATAATATATGTAAATCTTAATCTGTCAATTCTTAAACCTTGGCGTCTGTTTGCGTGTTGTAACATTAAAGTTTAGTAAATAATACACCTTTTTATTTTACACTGTTATGTAGTATGGTTATTCGTCGGGACCTCCTTCCTGTGTATCCTCAGCCCATGGAATATACACAAGATTCATTTTATAAACGCTGTGAACTTGGTAAGCCAGTTTATTTCGTTGTTGTTGAATTGCTGTTTACTTTCACGTTGTCAATTTTTTTGGCCTTGATATCTAATCCTATTTATTTTATCACTTTTTTTGAAGTGTAAAGTTAAGCCAAACATAAATACATACGTAGTTTGATGTATGTTCCATTGAATTCCGGTTCAACTATTTAAAGGGTAAGCTGTCGGTGCGAAACCTGAAGGTCCTTGGTTTGGTCCCTACTGAGGTCGTGTATGTAATCTGCTAGGGAGTCTCGTTCTGAAACAAAACAGCTGTTCGACCCTTCCTAGTTTTAGTGTTTGTTTAACTTGATTCAATATTCATGATCTCAATAATATACTCCTCTGTCGGTCCATCATTTTTCGAGTGTCCAAAGTCTCATAGACTATTTTCGATGTCTGATTGTTAAATTGAAATCGCGAAAAGTACCCATGATTGGGTGCATATAATGGGTCCGAAAACAGCTTTTAACAGTATTTCCAATGTTAAGAAATCTTCACTGATTCCTTATATTTTTCTGTTTATCATGCACAGAATCTCTAAAAAATATACTCACTAATATCCATGTGTAATTCTCTCGATGTGTTTTTCATCACCTAACTTATTTGGTTAAGAAAGACAACACTAACGCTCTACATTTTTCTCACATCAACAACTTATTCATCGAATCAGTAGCTAGGTGTAATTCCGTGCTTTTTGTTGAGGATAATAGCTATTCCTAGTCGTCCAAACCCCGAAATAGGCTGAACGGAGTTTCGACCTGAAATACAGTTGTAAAATATTGTAGCTAATAAGCCGCTTCACAATAGAGGGGTCTTATGTGTTTTTAGATTATTTCACTCCTGTTCAATCGTGAAAGAACGTGTATGGATTATATAATCCTATACTTTATATTTGTAGAGAGGTAGGTGACTTGTTGGCTAAAACACTTGACATTCAATAAACAAGTCAAAGGTTCAGACCATGCTGCATCCATCCCTGTGTAAGCAACTGAACATTATCCCGGTAAGCCAGACAAATAAAATGTGGCTCAAAACACGAACATTTACTCCATCAATGAGATACATTCATTCATATTAACAAGTTACAGTTGTTCTTGTGGGAGGTGGTTGGAAGCAATCGGTACGATTTTCAGTGACAAGATTTTGTGCTAATTAGCTATTCGACAACATGACATAGATGCGACAACCTAAAATCCCTGTGAGTTTCAAATCCACATCACTCAGTGTTACAACTAGTCACTATTTACCTCAATAATCTGTGACTTATCTAGAGGACTGGTTTTGCAATTGTCTTAATGCTTTTTGTGTATTGTTTACCCTTCATTTTGTTAAACTTTTTTTTACCTTTCCAGGTTGTGAGTGGGATTTTATTACAGATATACCATGGGTTCATGAAGTATGTTGTTCCCTTCTTAAAAATAATGAACTACATCGGTCTGATCAAGCTGATCAACTTTATGAATTACTGTCGGAATATCAAGCAGCTTCGGAAAATTTGAAAATTCAACGACATGGTGTACATTATCACGTGCAATTTCGAAATGTTCATTCACACATTGATATGTGTAATAATGATTCATCGAGTATGGTAGACAACGATAACTTAAATTATTTCTTACAGCGTAAACCTACTTCTTATATTAACTGGCCATATTCTGAAAATAATCTACTTTCTACCTATCCTTCTGATGATGCCAATACAATGAAGAATATCTTAAAAGAATGCCACCCATTGTCTGTTCAGAATATGTCTTCAGGCAATCGTTCACAAGCAACAATAATTAAACATGATAATAATATTGAATTTTTACCTTGGAAACGTTTATTACTATCACAAGAAGAAATATTTAATGCTGAATTTGTGAATCTTGACAAATCATCAAGCTTATCATCATTCCCTAATAATATTAAACCTTTATCTAAACAAAATTCTTTATCCCATTTGTCAAATGTCATGAATAAATCATTTTCAACGTCTGATAATCGTTCAAAAAAATTTACTTCATCTTCCACTTCGAATTTTTCCTCCTCCTCCACGTCCCGACAACAACAATCGTCATCCATATCTTCTTCAGTATCAACTACTACATGTGATCATTCTACTTTAATCTCTTCCTCTCGTAAACGTTCACTTCCTCCAACAAAATTATTTTCGAATTCTTGTAAAAAGTTTAAGTTAAAACAGTGATTATCTCATTTCATTTAATGGTTCGTATGTATGTATGTTTGTTTGTTTGTATGTTTGTTTGTTTCTCTGTTTTTATGCTTGTGCGTAGACGCATGTATGAACTTACCTGTTTCTAACCCCTCATTTCCTTTCTGATTCACTCTTTCTTTATTTAATTAATTATTTGTCCTATTTCTTATTACACCTATATCTTATAATCTTTTCTTATTAAAACTCTTTGTTATCAATTCTCTGCTCCTTAACAAACAAACACATAAAATTGTATACAGTTTTTGAGTTCTCTTTCTTATCGTATATATAATACCTTTCGTCGCACACACACATTCATGCACATTCTCTTTTTATTTGATGACCGTCCCACTCCGCCTCTTGACATAATCATGTTTAAAATATGTTGTACATTGATGAATAATAGTAATATTGTTCTTATTATTACTGTTACTATTATTATTAATCTCAGCCACAATAATAAGCTACTTGTTTATCAATCCGATTTATATTGGACCAAATATATTTTCAAATCATTATATATATATATCGTCTTTTGTTTATTTAAAATAAGCTTTTGCGATGATCATGTTTATATTCTTGTGCGATGTATCGATTTTATAACTGGACTCTCTTAAACTGCTTATAATGTAGTTATAAATTGATTAAACGTGCTATGATCGTCACCGACCTATTGATTGACAGAAACTAACAACAAAAATATCTGAACACGTTAACCATATACAAAATCCTGTTGGAAAAAATAGTCCTAGTAACGGTAATAAAAAGCGAAAAATGTACCCAAAACACATGTATGTATGTATGTATGTGATTGATTAATTGAGTTATAGAACGTGTTCTGTTAATTGAAATAATTCATGAAAATTCATGATATTTATAAGAGAAGGATATAATTTTTACTAGTGTAGTGAACAGAACACGGATGGGGACAACCACACGTATGTATCACAAAATTACAGAGTTACTTGGTAAACTAGAAAAACCAAATAGTAAATCGTTAATTTGCAAAATATCATTCTATCATATCAAACCGGACTGTTGCTGTTGCAATCATCAATCCATTGTCTCACATTTCATGGTTCATGCGTTTTCTTACAAATTGAATTGTGTTCCCGCTCTTCCTTTGTTGATCTTTCTCCATCTTCTGCTGCCAGACATTAGTTCTTTAACTCGCGTCATATACTACTTATATCAATATAAGTAGCACACATCACACTAGTACTCTTAGTGATATAAAAATTAGTAAATGTAAGCAAACAGACTTATCAATCCATCACAAAAATATAAAGATGACAATCGTAGAACCAATATAAAAGTTAATAATAGATAGAATTACGAGATATCTAGTTATGAAAAATATACATTGACTACTTTGATATTTTAATAGTAAAAATTTGCAATACAGTCTCATTATATGATTATCTGTTGTATATTTGTATCTAGACTGGACTGTTTTAATGATAACTTCAGTTATTTAGCAGTATTATTCTATGCTTTAATTGATTTTAGCACGAAATAGCTTTAATTATTGAAATTGTATCCGGATACATTTTAGGGGACAGATTGTTTCACTATGACAATGATAATCGATTTACAAATGGAGTTAGCTTTAAAAATGTCTGAAATGATAATTTCAGTTAAACGTTATGTAACGGATTCGGTTTTTTCAAATTTCAATTCTAATTTTATTAAATCTCATTGAAAATATTTTATTCGATTTGTATTGTGGTTTTTGACACTGGTTGGATTGAAATCCCATAACAAGTCAGTTCAAAAGTAAGAAAATTATTAGCTTTTCCAGCTTCATTCTATCTGTTATGTCTTATGCATTACTATGACTTTCTGTACCTTTCAATAATATGAGCTTGTTAAGAGTGGGCAAAATAATTCGTATAAGTTCTATTAAGTGGTACCATTAGGTTATCATTAAATATTGAACGAGTGTCCTGTGAAGTGAGATGATAAATAAGGCCAAGTTGAGACATCTTCGATGACCATTTTGTAACATGGTCTGTATCGGTGGGTATCACCTGTGGTTTGTGTTATCTATTATTGTCCTTCGTCTTGATATGCTGACCACTTAAATTACGTCTTTTATGCGAGTTTTAATGTAACCATTTACTGTTTCGACCTTCATGAATATTTCAATATGTTTTTGACGATGTAATGTTTTCCAACTGTTAATTGACAGAATAGTTGTTGATCGGTCAAACAGACTGCAAAATGATCGCTGACATAAAATTGCTTCTAAAAATCCCTGTTGATCGACAAAAGGACATGTAATTACCAAATTCTTAATCAGATAGTTTATTAGCATACATTGAACAAGACCGTAGTCCAATGTTTTAAGATATCTGAATTTAGTGAAAGTCGATTACTGTCACGCAATGGATTCAATGTAACAGGATAAAGGATTCAACGACATATTGACTGAGTTATAATTGACTTGTTCTAATCACTGTTGTAGACCGCTTATTAATTAAAATATTCAGTTTTCAACCGATGAGTCGCAAGCTCAAATCCCTCTTTTCCTCTATTTTAATAAACAGGTAGTACCAAAAGTCCTCGTATAAATAACTTGGCTTAAAAGCCGAGTATATACTCTGTAAATAAGTTAAAATAATGAAGTACGCTGAACTAAATGAGGATTTAATCTTTTCAGTATGAGAATGCACTTTGGATTTTCTCTAGAACCAAAATATCCCAATTCAATTCTATGATTAGATTGAACATGGGTTCACGAAGCAGACAAATTGATTTGGGGTTTCACTAATGTAAAATATTCTGAATATGCTTTTTTTTTAAAAAAAAGTTGATGAATGATGGTGCTAATAACACAAATTATTTCCATTTTGAATGTGATTTCCTTATTCCGAACAACACTCCCTCAATCTTGATAAGTAACGAACTTGGAACCAATAGAATCCTTAAGGAATGGATTATATTTAATCCATTGAGTAAGTATCCAACTGTTCATCCTTCAGTTATAGCCATGATCCTATGTTCTCAAAAGAAATCTATACAGCAACTCTCTCTAGCATCTTCATCGATATAAGGGTATGTTTTGACTGAACTCCATTCTTTCAAACAATTTTGTAATTTCTTTTGTATTTATAGTATCCGTTTCTTGATTCTTACACAGCTATTACGAAATTGACCTTTTTAAATTCCCTCATCAAATATGTAATCTAACAGCTGTTTATTTGCATGTTTTCAATTTTCGAAGATTATTATAATCCCCTCCTTTCAATTACTCAATAATCATTTTGAAATTATATAGTTATGATGGTAGATTACGATTAATAGTATTATTTTACTAATATATTATATATGTATATAAACAAATGTGGAGTCTTAATAAACAGCTAATTGCCCCCAAATGCCCTGGTACGGCCGAGAGTGGAGAGAGTCCGCTCTTCCTCTCCAAATGCTCTCACATGGCCACGCGTATATATAGCCTCTGCCAGGGAAGTCCTACTCACTGCCTTCTCGTGATGGGGGTGTTGTTTACGAAAATGAGAGGACGAAAAGCGAATGTATGGCGCTTTAACGGGATCCCAAACCAATGGTGCACATGGGCTCCAGTATCCTGAAGGAACAAATGGCGTATGAACCAATTGTTGGTCACCGGATTCCATGAGACTGCATCTCCTTACGATGCTCCATTGCCTTGAGGATCAGACCTTCAGGTTAAAGGCTCGGGGTGTGGCCCCCTAAGGAAACCACCTGGTTCGGTTTGGGCACCCGGTTAGTATCACAGCCCTCACACATATCGAATGAGATCTGTGTGGCGCATATGTATTTGATGCCTCTTTGTACCAATATCTATATGTTGAAATAAATAATTAATAAATGAAATATCTAATTGAAATGAAATTTCTTCGATCTGTTTTTTTATTATCCATTGATATCCACGTTATCCGTTTTATATCTGACATGGTTGAGATCCGATGACTGTAGCTGCTTATTCAAACTTCGAGAAACTCTTAGAGTTAGTTACTAATACTTACATGATTTCTAATAGCATAAAAGGGTTGTGAAGCTCAGCTGTGAAGTGAAACATCTGGTCAGTGTTAGCTAAATTTTCCTTAATGCAAATTGTAGATGATAATTTTCACACAAAATAACAGTTTACAATAGATTTGCACACACATGCGTTCATAACATAACAAAGCTTGTCAGGAAAGCGAATAACAAAGAAAAATATTTTCAAAGCATCTAAATAACGTTTCAACTTATACTTTGAGTAAATAATCGATTAAATGTAATTGAGATCATGAATCTATCAATGTTAGACCACAACTGGAAACTCGAAAGCACTGAACGGCCGTTTCGTCCCAGTGTGGTACTCAGCAGTAAGCATGCACGATTCCGCACGCTTGATTCGAACTCAAAGTCTTCCGTCTCGCGCGCGAATGCCTAACCTCTAGACCACTGAGGCATCATCAAACGGTGTTTTAATATCTAACCTCAACCAATCCACGATATTGCAACCATCTTCCATTGTCTTCAGTGGGTAGCTGCCCCACACTCGATGCGATTGAACTCCACTGCTCATGGCTTCTCACTAGGACCCTGAGAGTTACATCTCGAAGCTAGTCACTATTGAGCACATGAAACTGTTACGTCCTTGATCTGTCTACCACTTTTTGTGCAGAGTATAACTTGTCTAATCTAGATTAAGACCTTGACGCGATAGGCTAACTGGTTTAACCTTGAGGCTAGTAGGCGTGAGATCAACTGTTTGGGGTAGAGAGACGTAAATTATTCTATCACTTGATTGGCTGACAAGCACCCGAGTGAGAGAAGACAAGTCAACTGGCACACTCCACGATTTATTCCCAATTCCGATCTGGTTCCCGATTTCAGATTAGTGTAAAAGATACATGAATAAATAAATGACTAACCAGACCACAACTCACAACAATTAGGAAAATACAATTATTAGCATAACTGGAGATGTGCGTAGAAAGTAGAGTACAAAATATTACGTTTAAATTACAATAGCTTTGGAACAAAAGGGGCTATGGCAGTGAATCATATATCAAACGAAAGCTTATGATCTGTAGAATAGACTAGGGACAAAAATAAATGTTATCGTTTTACAAGCTTTTAATTAAATCAAATAACGTCCCTAGAAACAGCTTCCGTAGTTGTTTAAGGCTTCTTGTTTCTCTGTTCACATCAGAAACGAAATGGCCGTCCAGTGATTCCAGGTTTTCAATGGTGGTCCAACATTGATCAGTTCATAATTTCAATTAAAATTCATGAATCTTCGGAACCCTATACTGATAATCGAAGAATTAATGAGTTAAATATTAATTATTTTCAGACACTTGAGTATAAACTGTAATCATGAGTAAGGTTTGATCGAATCCATTTAAATAGCCATATCATACACCAATAAAACGTACATATAAACTATAACTTGATGTTTTTAACATATTCGTATTGATTAATTTCGTCAAATAAAATGAAAATCAGCTTGCATTAGATGTAAATGCAAATGCCTATAAGTAGTATC